GCTTAAAAGACTTCTAATGCGGCACCTAGCTGTCTGGGGGAGGGGACACACTGAACTCTAATCTGATCCTGTCAGGTATAAACTCTGTGTGCTTCCTTCAATAAAGCAGATCTTGGTTTCCACCTCAACATTGGTGTCATCTAATGATTGAGTGGTTTAGCGTTCTGTCCTAATATATTGGTTCTGTCCAATAATTAGGCAGGTTTGGGCTGAGGACACTGAGATTCGGGTTCCAGCGGAGAGGAAGCTGTTTTCTGACGGAGGTACCCAGTCGGGGTACCAAGCGGTCCGTCACAGGGGGCTTAAGGAGCAGAAGGGGAAGGAACGAAAAGACCAAAGAACGAAGTTCGTAGAGAGAGGTAAGTGTGCTAAGGAGATACAGGGAGACCAGAGAGTCCCAAGAGGTGACTGCTGACTACAGGAAGGAAAGAAACAGGGAGACCAGAGAGTCCCAAGAGGTGAATGCTGACTGCAGAGAGGAAGGAAAGAAACAGGACCTAGTCACAAAAGAAAACAGCTAGACCAGGCTAACGGTCTAGCCAAACCACTTATTGAGAAACCAACCTGAGGTGTACACTCAGGTAAAACCCTATGTGGGGGGGGGTAGGACAAAGAATTATAAAAGTAGAACTGTGTATTGTATCAGTAAGCAATATAATTGGTAAAATACAGAAAATTATTAGGGAGATGCATGGCTATGGTTCCCAACTATATCTGTCGACTGAACAACAAAAAACCTCATGCCAAGTAAGAACGACAGGAATAGAGGAGTGCAATAACCATCCTAAAGCACTTACCAGCCACAAATTACACTGAGGCCAAATTCACTGTCAAAGGAGTAAATAAGAAAAAACAAATAAACATGACAGATTAAGGAGTCATCCAAATATACCAAATCAGCCCACTCTTCAAGGCAGATGATGTAAGTAGTAGAAAAGTATACCTGTGTAGGAAGGTTAGCGTACGATGACCAAGTGCAATAGCAGTTTACTGTGCTTCACAAGGATGGTGAGAGGAATCAACAACGTCCCCATAATGCAGTGTGCTAAACATATCCGGTGACATATCCGGTGACATTAGACACAAGGCATGGTTAAAGCAAATACCTGAAATCCACTTAGCACATGAAATAACCGGTATCACCTGCAAAAGCCCCAAGAAGAAACAAAGAGCAGTCCGGGATAACACCAATGCGACTAGATGATCCGCCAAAGGTTGCAAACCGAGCTGCCGCGTCTTCAGGCCTCATGCCAGGTCGGATTCGGCCAGGAGGGTAATTGAGGGCCATGTCGCTGACTGGAACATGCAGGCATCACTGATCTTTGTGGAAGAAAAATGGCATCAGATGAGCCAACAGGAAAATCCAACCAGTTCAGCAAGGCCATTGGTTCTAAATCCAAGAACTGGAAAAGATTTGGCAACTGAGCAGGGGGTATGCAAAGAGAGAGATCTCCGTTACGATGCACCACTAGGTGAAAATGTTGACCCCATCGGTAGGTAGCTCCGGCTGCTCTGATGGTATCCAGCAGGGGCCTCAGCATCCTGCGCATCTGTAGAGTATGACGGAACAGGTCCGATAGGACTTGTATTGTGGCGCCATCAAATTCTACCTGTCCACGTTGCCACGCCTGGCGTAGAATGTCCTCCTTAACCGTATAGAAGTGTACTCGGCAGAGTACATCACGCGGAATCCCCAGGGAAGCATTATGGTAGGCCTGTACTCTGTGTACATGATCAAGTTCCATATTCTCAGTGGAAGGTCTATCCAGCTGCTGGTTGAGAATAGCTGTAACCGTAGTTCGCAAGTTTGCACCTGAAGTCACCTCCGCTATGCCTTTCAATCGTAAATTATTACGGTTTTCTGCACCATCTTGATGTAAAAATATTGCAGTTAGCCTGTTGTGTCAGCTTGTGTGGATTCAATGGCCGCCACCCAAGTAGCGAGACCTGAAGTAGTAGTCTCAACCACTGTGGCTTTCTGATCGAGGGAGACCACCTGTTGTTTTATGTCTTGTACCTCTTGTCAGAGGGCTTGAACTAGTTTAGAGCCTTGGTTCTCAACTGGTGGGTCATGACCCAAAAGTGGGTCGCGACCCCATGTTCAGTGGGTCGCCACGTGCCTTCCACTTTTCTAGGTGAGAGGCTCCTCAGCCTCCCCCTAGTGCAGCACTGTCAGTTCTCGCGCTGAGCAACCATTCAAAATATGCCGCCCGATATTGAATGTCAGCTTGAGGTGAGGTGGGCTGGGGTTATGGCCGCGAGGAAGCTCCATCCATAAGTGCATTGCTTACAACTCCCTCATGTGTCGTGTAGAGGTGCCTGGACCGGAGTAATGTCACATTCTGGCTCTTGGCAACTCTTCATGGTGTGCAAGGGAGCTGTACAAGCAGTGCACATATGGATGGAGCTCAGTCACAGCACAGCAGCCCACCCTGGACCCCAGGCTGAGGATCCATTGCAGTTCTCGTAAGGTAGGGAGTCTGGGTGGATTTAAAAAAACAAAAACAATTTGTGTGATGTGTGTGTGAAAATGTCTGTCAGTGTGTGAGATTGTGTGTCAATGGTTGTCTGGGTCTGTCAGTGTTTTTGAGGGATCATTCACACTAGGGCAGTACGTTAATCGCACAATCCTGTGCAATTAACACGTTGTACAACGCAATCGCACCTGTTCTGGTGTGGGAGGTGCATTGCAATTCATTTGAATGGCACCTCAAATGCATCTACCACCCACAGTTCTATCGCCCGCATCAGAGCACGCAATGCCATGCATTCTATGGCACTGCAACTTGGGTCGTGACTTAATGACCAAGGACAAATGTGGGTCCTGAGGTTACACAGCTTGAGAACCACTGGTTTGGAGGCCATCGTGTCTAAGTCCTATTTGGTAGGTAGAGTAGGCAGGATGTCTCTCCATCCCCCGGTCACTTCCATACTTCAACTCCATGAGGAGGCCAAATAGTCTGAGCCTGGAGAGTAGGCACTGTTCAGAAAAACCGGCGTGGGGATCGGAGAGGGAGCCTGGTCTTGACCCCGACCAATTCACCTATCCGTCGAACCAGTATCAGGAGCCCCGATTTACCGGTATGCTTGCCAGGCATGGTGCTTGGTTGTGAGTTGCGGACTGGTGTCATGGCAGGGGCGGCAGTGGCCTTCTGTGAAGCCGTGAAGGGAGAGAGGAAACGGATGGTCGATCTCAGTGAAACCATAATGGATGTTGCCACATAATATATGTTTGATATAGACAATACAGGTGAAACTCGAATAATTAGAATATCGTGCAAAAGTAATTGCAGTAAGTGCTGCAAAAGGGGCCCAAACCAAGTACTGAGTACTTGTACTTTTCTGAGGTCGGATATTGTTCTATGTACAATCCTTGTTTTATTGATTGCATGTAATAATCTACTTTTTTGAGGTTCTGGATTTGGGGTTCTTGGGGTTTTCATGAGCTGTAAGCCATAATCATCACAATTATGACAAATCACGGCTTGAATTATCTTGCTTTGCATGTAATGAGTCTATCTCATATATTAGTTTCACCTTTTTAAGTTGCATTAGTGAAATAAATGAACTTTGCACGATATTCTAATTATTCGAGTTTCACCTGTATTACACTATATTTGATCAAGATGAATGGTCAATATAGTTTGGCTAAGGGAGGGTTAATGTAGGTGGTTTTATGTTTGTGAAGGGTTTTGGGGGATGGGGGGTTTCTTGGGGAAGAGAGAGAGACAACTATATACTTTTTACTTATGCAATGGTGGCATGCCTCTTTAAACCCCAAAAGTCTTTATATGTGCTAGCTATTTAAACTAGGGGGCGAGGTGCCATTCAGATTGAGCAAGTCTGGGGTGTGTGTTGGGACACAGTCTCCGCTAGTTTCAAGTATTTTAGTATAAATGCCAAGCCTTGAAGTAACACTGAAAGCGACTGCAGACAGATAGCCACAAAATCTGAACTAGCAGAAGAGTTTAAAAAATTCCAGTACAATATGTCAATATATTCCTGTGCGAAAGTTTACTAAGCTGTGGTTCAATATGATCTCATATAAATGTGCCCCTTCAACTAAGAATCGTTGTGCTGAATAATAATCATTTAGAGGTATTACTTGAAGAAAAAAAAAAGCCAAAATGCATGGAACAGGAAGCAATTAGTGAATACTTGTAAAAGCCGACCTATTATGCAATTCAAATTTCTATATTTAATACTACAACCTAAATAAAAGCTACATTTCAGTGAGCTGCCACAGTTGCACATAATGCCTGCACTGTACTATGTGTTATAGCTGTTTGTGCAGGTCTCCCTCTCACACAACAAACATTGATGACACCGCGGAATGCAAATCTCCCACAGCTACCTTCATTTCTGTATTGTAAATCTCGACCACTAGAAAAATAGTAGATGGTTTCAGCATGGACCTGTTATTGATTCCTACAGCAGAGGGGGGGCACTGGATCTGTGCAGGTCTTGGCCTTTTTTTTTTATTGCATCAGCTTAGAAGTAGTCACATGACCCAACACAATGTGATCGCACCCGAGTAAAAACTAAAAGACAAATAGCAGGTTGTTTTAGTAGAAGCATCAGAGAAGATAAGACCACCTTAAACTGGTAAGTACACGTGACCACCAGAGGTGCCCCAATAATGAAATCATTTGAAAAGGGATACACCAGTGATTTCTTTTAAAAACCACTAGACTGCCAAGGATACCCTAGTAATGAACTAAACTGGATGTTTAGTAACCAACTCCTCATTAGTGTTACATCCTAAAAAAAATGAAAAACATTTTTGGGGGGTTATTTAAAATAAATTGTTATAATAAATGATTATATTGCTGCCTGTATGCTTAATGGTAGACCAGAAAGCTGACTCTTGAGATTCTTAGTTTCATCTTTTGTCCTGGTTGATGAGCCACAGTGTTTGTGTAAATGCAGATTGTATTCATTACCCATAACGTATCCCCTCTCTAACACGCTACCCTGATGGACTCCAAATTTATGCCTGCAGGTAATACTGAATAAGGCCAGCTGGTCAAGGAGCCTTTCAGTTCTCATAAGGTCAGTAAAGACTTTTCTTAATACGGTACACTAAAGACCTTACAAACCCTCCTGTGCAGATTCCAACAAAATCAGCAGCATTTTAAAATTTTCAACATATCTATACTACTAATAAGAAAGGATTAGGTGGGAAGCCTATGCTTTATTCCTGTGAAGACTTGCAACAGTTTTTAAAAAAGGCAATCATTTTTGTAGCCTCTGGTTTATTCTGGCAAGAGTCTGCATGACTGCCAATTTAACCAATCTGATGGCTTTGCTGCCATATGGGATTTACATATTTATATAGTTTTTAGTTTTGTTTGAGTCTGTAAGAAATTAAAGATGATGTGTATGGTGACAATCACTGTCACAACAAAACAATTTAACTCTACATTAGCATGAATGCTGAAAACTACAAATGAAAGGATCTAGGGATGTACGGATACCATTTTTTCAAGACAGAGTATGAGTACTGATACTTTTCCTCAAGTACTTGCCAATGCCAATTACAGCTACTTTTTTTTTTTAGTGTCATGCGACAGGTTTTTCTAAAACAATGCAGACTAATGATTTTAGGACAGTGGTGGAGCGCCAGGGCCCAGTCGCAGCTGTAAACGCTGCAAACCTGGTAGTTCCGCCACTGACTCCAAGCTGTAGAGGGACTACAAATCCCAGCAATACATTGTACAGCATTGCAAAATACCACCAGCTATAGAAGACTACAAATCCCAGTAATACATTATACAACAATACAAAACAATATTAAGCTACATACTGTGTTGCTCACCAGGGCTGTGTGTCATCGCAGGAGGCCGTGCGGGTCTAACTAGGGCTGTACAGGGTCTCACCAGGGATGTATCGGGTCTCACCAGGGCTGTGCAGTCTCAGGAGGATGCGCAGGGTCTCACCAGGACTGTGTGCGATCTCCCTAAGGCTCAGCAGGTTCTCAGGAGGCTGTGCGGGTCTCCCCAGGGCTGTGTGGAGGCTCACCTGAGCTGTGCCGGGTCTCCCCAGGGCTGTATACGGTCTCACCATGGCTGTGCAGTTCCACCAGGGTTGCATGAGTTTTCACCAGGGCTTAATGCGGTCTCACCATGGCTGTACAGTCTCACCATGCTTGTGCGGTTTCACCAGGGCTGTGCCGGGTCTCACCATGACTGTGCGAGCAGGTGTGGGTCTCACCAGGGCTGTGAGGGTGGCAGGGGGTCACCAGGGCTGTGCGGGTGGCGGGGTGTCGCCATGGCTGTGCTGGCAGCTGTGGGTCTCACCAGGGCTCTGCGGGCAACTGGGCATTACCAGGGCGTCACTATAGCTGTGCGGGCAGAGGAGTGCCACCAGGACTTTTCAGGTGGCGGGGTCTCACCATGGCTGTGCGAGCGGCAGGAAGGAGGAGGAGATATGCGGCCGGACCGGCGCTGTAAACAGCATCTGTGAGGTCCCCGAAGGCTGCCATGAGGTCCCCAGCAATACAGCAGCCGCTTTGGTTTAAAGTTTTAAAGGGCCAGTATCGACTTTTAGTATCAAGCATTTTCACCAGTACCAGTACTCGTGAAAATGATATGGTATCGGTATCTGTGCATCCCTGAAAGGATTCATAGACCACAAGCGTGTTTTAAAGTCTAACGTTTTTCACTGTGGAGTTTGTGTATTGTGGGTATAGCTAATCAGTAAAAATTAGTTTTCTTTATGCTAACAGTATACTTGCAGTCATTTGCAATTATTGGTGCATTGGTATCTTTTAGTAATCAATGCATCATTTATATTTTGTTCTATGTCCTGTATTAAGAGTTTGATCACTGAAAGTAATTAAAGGAGAACTATGAGGCGAGTGCTTTTCACACACCTCATAGTTCTAGCCGACCTGTGACAATGAGACTGTCACAGGTCAGCTCAGTAGATCGGGAGGTGAGCGAACACATATCATAGCTCTCTGCCGTGACAGGATCGAGCCGCCATCACTGATAGGCCAGAGCCACTAGATAGGCAGAGCCAGCTGTCCCTCATGCAGCTGGGCGGATCCAGACATAATTGTCGGGATGCGCTTCAGCTGCGGCGTCTCAGTATACCGCGAGCAGTAGCTCGCGGTATACTGTGGCGTCTCAGTATACCGCGAGCTGTATACTGAGCTTAGGGTGACGGGAGGACGCTAGTTTGTGTCCTCCCGTTACCCTAAGGAGAACTATGGGGAAAAGCCTTAACCCCATAGTTCTCCTTTAAGAACAATAGCACTGACATATATTAATAGTCTTGACATGTATTATTTACAAAAACACTATGGGGTCTATTCACAAAGCTGCCGAGGGCAGCCGAGTGAATGACCGATCAGAAGTGAAGTGAGCCGAACACTGTTCGGCTATTCACTTCAGGCTGGTACGGCTGATTTCAGCGGTACATCGGCTGAAATCAGCACCGAGATGTCTCTCTATTCTGACATCGCTCGTGTCAGAATAAAGAAAAAAGGCACAGCGGGGTTTTTCTCCTTGGCGACCGGGAGCAGGAGACTCCCGGGGTGCCAGGGAGAGTCAGCTATTTGGAGATCAGTGTCCCTGGTTAGCAACCAGGGACGCTGATCTCTCTGCAAGTGGCCGGAGCCAGCCGATAGCCACGAAATCTGAACTAGCAGAAGAGTTAAAAAAATTCCAGTACAATATGTCAATATATTCCTGTGCGAAAGTTTACTAAGCTGTGGTTCAATATGATCTCATATAAATGTGCCCCTTCAACTAAGAATGTGCCCCTTCAACGAATTCCCATTCAAAAGCATTGGTAGTTTACTATTGGCTATTTCAATTTGCAATAGCCAATAGTAAACTAGCATTGTACCCGCCCTCTGCTGATGGACCTGATGGGGAACTGCAGAAGAGGGCTGGTCAGAATTAAAAAAAAAGGACACAGCAGTGTTTCTCTCCTTGGCGGCCGGGAGCAGGAGACTCCCGGGGCGCCAGGGAGAGTTAGATGTTTGGAGATCAGTGTCCCTGGTTAGCAACCAGGGACGCTGATCTCTCTGAAAGTGGCCGGAGCCAGCCGTAAGATCACGGCTGGCTCCGCCCAGCTGTCAGAAGCAGGCTGTCGGCCGGCCAATGGCCGGCCGCTCGGCCAGCTTCGGCTTTCAGCACGGCTCAGCGCTCGACTGAGCTGCTCGGCCGTGATTGGGAGCTGTAGGGCTATTGTGAATAGCCCGTACAGCACCCCCTCGGTTCTCCTGAACCGAAGGGGTCCTGGGGCCGAAGCTATCCGAAGGATCGGCCGAAGCTACGGCCAGATCCCTCGGCAGCTTCGTGAATAGACCCCTATATATGATTTTTATGTAATTAAAGACGTTGTTTCAGTGAGAGAAAGGCAAAGCACATAGACGTACCCACTGCTGATTAATAATTGCTGATTTTTTTCAATATGTGATTAACCTAAACATTTCCATGTGGATCTGTTTGATCTATGGAATATCATGAAATTTAGGAATCTATGCAACCTCTTAATGGTCCCAACAGTAGATGTTAATGCAGCCAGAAATTGGACAACATTCACAGGGTTATTCACAAAAGTGTGAAGAGTTTGGAGAAGGCAGGAGAAGAGAACAGATGAATAATAATAGCTGCGCTAGGAGTATAATTGTGTTCCAAACAATAGACCAGCTGCAACAATATGTGATTATTATAATCGTGTATAATGGTGCTAATTTTTGTTGCGCTCAGTCAAAGTGTATATAAATAAACTCAATAAGTGAAATTATCTCATGCTAATGAGTATGGTTAAGATCAACAATTCAAAAAATGAAAGTGAAAACACACAAACAAATGCACTTACGAGATTGTAGGTTAAAAATCACATGTCAGATACAGACATCCCAACCTGCAAAACCTTATTTCAGGGAGGTGCCCTTCTCATTTCAGGGAGGTACCGTCTCTGTTTTTTTTATCAATGTATATATATATATATATACACACAAATATAGTAGATATTATATATAGTTACATAGTATTTGAGGTTGAATAAAGACATTAGTCCATCAAGT